TGGCGTCATGACATGCAATACCCCCAAGGGTTGGAAAGAATCGCAAGCGGGTGTGGCTTAGTAGTGAGCAGAACAGAGAAACAAACTGCGAGCGTACTGTGCCATTGAAAACTGCCATGGTATAAAAGACAATCAAACGAGTCAGCCAACATCAGCCTCCAAGGGTATGTGGTCTCACCTCTCTGTCATGGTGACCATGGCCGCAAGAGACTGATCAGTGTGGTACTCCACACGGAAGTAAGCCTTGTACCATTCACTGAACATAACGGTCGCCTCTCCAATGTCCTCGTACCCGGGGAGGTGCGTGATGAGGGGAACAATCTGCATCATTGCCCGGTGTTCCCATGCCGCGTACTGTGCCACAGTACGGAAGTAGTACGAGGGGTCTGGAGCCCTCAGGAGCGAGGCCGGGGTGTCCACCAGAACAGCCCGGCAACGCCTGCATATATCACCCGCCGGGTGGCGGATGGCATAACGGCACGATTAGCACTACGGCCGTATCTATGCAGCATTGTATGGCGCAGTGTGACAGGGGATTTGTGAAAGACGGAAAATGCATATGCTCCACCAACCACACACACCTCAAAAGCTCCGCGCGTAAAGTGGGCGTAAGTCTCCCCAAGATGCACTTCATTGTGTGCACCCAGAGACCCTCATCCACCACATGTAAGATACAAATACCAATGGCCTCGTACAGATTACCCCATGGCGTATCGACATACGCCCAGTCCCATAGAGCACACTGCACACAAGTTCGGCACGAGCTTACCCACACTCAACGGGGGGAATACACAACACCAATATACGCGAAAAATCCACCATGCAGAACCTCCTTCAAACGTCCACTTACAGCAGCGTAGTGGGTCGAGAATGCCGTCTTTACAAGTTCACGATACTCGGGAGTGCTCTGCTACATCAGCTCAAAAACCTCCCGCTGCCCTTCTACCGTCCGTGGTTGGAAGGTCTCGGAAACCTTGTTCAAATCCCACCATCCCACTGTACACATTGAGCACGGCTGCAGTGCAGTCGCAGCCATCGTGCATTTGACTATAGACGACTCGGGGTGGTCACACACGTAGTCCGCCAGCAACGAATGAACTGTCATCTCCACGCCCGCTGCGTCTTGCACTTTGATCCCGCCACTGCGAGCAGCACAATATTACGCCATGTTATAAACGCCCAAACAGTCCATGCGACAACACTGCCCGGTCATGCATGCTCCACATCGAATGTTAGCCATATGGTGACATGACGACATACCTTTCCTTGCTTGAAAAGGCCATTAGGGGGCCTAGTACAATGCCCAGCATCACTTGCATGACCTCGGCCTTTTGCTCGGCTGACATTTCCGCAGGCAGCGGTGGAAACATAGCAATCAGCTCGGTTGCTCCCAGCATCCACCTTAATGCCTCTGGAATGTTCATGAGCGTGAATTGCAAGGGGTGCGCCATTTGACGGCCATTGAAACTCATGTGGGTCACATCACTAAACAAAATCACACCTGCTACAATCGCCTCTCCATCCATAGCTCCTTGTAAATGTCACGAGAGACCACTTAGTACAAACGGTGCGAATGGTTTGGCAGGACATTGACCTGCTGTGGCGGTAATGCTCACCGTGGCTTCCTTAAACCATTTGCAACCGGCCGCATTGCGATATACCGTCACCCCGTCGACCTTCTCTTCCCTCCATTTAGTGGCAAACCCATCCACTCCTGACATCCTCTCCCATAATGCCACAAATACCTCCACGATCGGGCGGTGACGAAACGTCAAGACACCGAGATCTCCTTCAAGTACTATTTCGACCTCCTCCCAGTGCTCATGCGCTTCCAAAACCTCCTCCTCCCATTTTTCCAGATCCCTATAAGTCTCCCACGTTTCGAGATCGTCGTCGGACGGGTTACGCGCCTTAAACAGCTGTATAATGTCTGTAATAGCCTCATTCGGGAGGTTGTACTTGCGAGCGATGTGCGCAATCTCTGCACGTATGTCAACCTCTATGTCGCGTTCCTCCGACCGTTTTGAGCTAGCCGCGCTCGACACGCTGTCCGTCTCATGTGCCTCCTGAACATCCTCACTCTCCTCGCCACGCTCACTGTACTCGTCCCCCACCTCATCCTCGCCCTCTGAATCCATGACCCCATGGGACTGTTCCCCATATACGTACTCGTATACCGTCCGTGGATACTCATGATAACGTCCTAGGGGGATGCCAAGTGTAGCTAGCCTTTCCTGTTCTGCAAGGCACTTTTTCGATGTCCCATGATGCGACCTTAAAATCTGAAAGCTGCCGAATGTATCACCACAGAATTCGCATAGTTCTACTGGCATGCGCGTCTACAACTTCTAACGTATATCGCGACTAAGCGGTCCGGCAGTTAGGGTTTGCGACTGAGATCCAGCTACGAGCACAACGGCGATTTCCACGTCTCACTGACGCACAGCCAGGAACATATCCCGCTCTGTTACGGCACTGTACCTTTTATGCCTTGGGTTCAGCGCTGGATGTGATATGACTCATTTAGGAGATAGAATAACTTATATTTGGAGCATCATTGAAAAACGACGGGGGTCTGTTTACCCTACTTTGTAATATAAACTACATTGACCAAGCACTAATCCCCTAAACATAACAACAGCAACACAGCCAAAATGCATGGGGTCACGCAGCCTAGGGCCTTCTTCAAATGCATCAGTCAGTCGCATGTGATTGCAACTGAAACTACTAGTGACCGTTCATGGCTCCACCATAACAAATAGGGTTGTATCAACCAGCGCCAGTGTCCTTCCTACTCCTCGGCTGGTAAGAGCCGCTCCAACAAACGCATGAAGAGCCGAGCATCTTCATAAGTAGTAGGCCGGGACCCTCCTGCACATGGGTGCCCTTGGGGATTGGTTAACACCAAGGAATACATGGATATTAAATAATACGCAATGGTACAGATTACCCGCAACTAGGCCGTGGAAAACCGGCCTGCTCCTGGATGATGTGTGGCCCCCAGGGCTACGAGAAGTGTGACGCGAGCCTACACAACAAGAAACAGAGAAAGAAAGACACAATGTTAAACCTGAGCGTGCGTATACGCGATCATGACAATCATCCGTCACTGTCCTTTTCATACCCCGTTGTGCGTCATTCGATGCAGAGCGGGTGGACTGAGTTGCACCGCTGGGTACAGGTTTGGCTCGAGCCGGGGAGGCATTACTCGAGAATACATAACCGTCAGGAACATCCCTAGAGTGACCCACCCCCCCCCCTCAAGGCAGAGTTGTTTTCATGTGAAGGCTTCGCAACACCTGCGCCACTGGCATGTTCCCCGCTCACCTTAACATGTGCTGTAAAGTTAGGTCGCTCTATGGCGGCGTCGGCGGAAGAGACAGAACCTCCCTTGCCTGTCAACCCCGGTTCATGTCGCCATGCCGCGTCTTTCCCTCCATTTGCTTTCCCGTCTACCAGCGCCACCCCCGGCTTTCCCTCCTCTGTCATAGCGTCTTCTGCCAGTCCTTCCGCATTCCCGTCCTCTGTTTCTGCGTCTTCCTGCGCCACAAAATGGCTTTCCCTCCTCTGTCTCTGCGTCTTCTGGCGCCATCTCCGCATTTCCGTCCTCGGTATCTGCGTCTTCTGGCGCCACCTCCACAATTCCGTGCTCGGTCTCTGCGTCTTGTTTGCCGACCTCCGCATTTCCGTTCTCGGTCTCTGCCTCACGTTTAGCGACCTCCGCATTTCCGTCTTCGGTCTCTGCGTCTTCTGGCGCCACACCCGCATTTCTGTTAACGGTCTCTGCGTCTTCCCACGCCCCCTCCTCATTACCATCCTCTGTCTCTGCGTCTTCCCACGCCCCCTCCTCATTACCATCCTCTGTCTCTGCGTCCTCTGGCGCCACATCGGCCGTGTCATCATTTGTCTCCGCGTCTCCTCTATCCACACCCGCTCTTCCAAACTCGACATCGGCGTCCTTCGTCGCGACCTCCGGTATGGCGTCCTGCGTCTCCTCGTCATCAGTCGCCTCTGAATCCTTTTGCGCCTCTGTCTCTGCATCCAGGAACCCCCAGTCTCCTGCCTCCGTTTCGGCGTCCTTAGCCTCAGTCGGTCCGTACGGTGCAAGTCCCAAGTTACGACATGGCGCTTCAACATCTCCGTCAGCCATTCCCTCACCTAAGCCAGGGCCTGACCCCGGCCTGCCCAAGTCACGAGGTGCGTGAGGGTTGAACCCGGGCAGCATCCACGCACCGGAGACCCTCATAGACCAGGAGCCGTATTGTTCCTCTGTGTCGACTAATGGCTCCTCCCCTAGTAGTTGCTGTCGTAGCGACGCTCGCCTGCCGCGCAAGTTCTTCCAAGAAGCCATCTCACGGCGCAACCAAGTTAGGTGAGAGCACGACTGGCAAAAAAGAAACCCCAGAGGTACAAGTTTAGGCTGGTTGATGTCCCCTGAGGTCCAATCTCGTTCGCGCTATAGGCAACTTCTAGTAGTTTCGATTAACGAATTTCATATGTGTGCGTCACTAAGCATGATAATCTCGTGTCTGGTTATTGTACTAGCTGATGTGTAATACTCCCATCGCGCACAAGGACTGATTACACTGGGTTACATGATCCCCAACTTGGCAGCAATGCTAGTAGCTGATGCAGGTTTCTTGATTTTTCGTAACTGTTTGAAAACCAATTAGTACCCTGCACAAACATCTAGTCCTCTAGCAAGCAGGACCATGTTCACAATATTACAAGCAACATTACTTGTTGCTATAGGCCACACTCCATGAAATGAAGTCCTTAAGATACTCAGCACGCCATTGGACGCTTGATCCATGTGCCACAATGGTCTTCACGTCTTGAAATCTGGTTTCAACGAGCGCCTGCATAAACTTCATAATGTATATGCCACAGTCGTCAGAATTTTGCTGACGTGGCACCTGCATGTTCAGCGTTCAGCATGCCAACAGTGTGCGTCACTGTGTTGCTATAAGTGGGAGAGCACAAGAGCCGTGCACATTTACCTCAATTGGCGCGTAGCGTATCCCGCTCTCCCACACCTCAGCCTCTAACTCCGTAACGATCGGATTCTGGATCATCAGTTGTTCCCGCAGGAAGCTGACAGATGCAACACAGTACAATGGTCCGTCTGTTACGAGGTAACATCATTCTGCCCGCACTGACACGTCCCGTACTAGCAGTACTACATACCTTTTGATGGGTGCGTCGAATAACAAGTGCTGGGAGAGAGAGTCTGCGTGGAGAATCCGTGGCGGTAGGGGGATGATATCCTCGTCCACAGGCGGGTTGTTGTCCAGCAAGACAAGGCTCCAATGATTGCTGGAACGGATGTGATAGGATGTAATGCCAGTCCTAAGCAAACACTCGGGCGATTATAAGAATGAGCCATCATTACAGGTTGCTCAGTACGATTGCAATGGATCTTACTCTAGGTTTATTGGGATGAATACCCATTTGAAAGTCAGGACGTTCTCCCCGAATGTATAGTTGGTCCATGGAGCCGATCGTGAGGGTTGTTGCATTAGGTCGTACAGATATGTGCTGCAGTACAGCCATTCACGACGGGATAAGTCGTGTTCGAACTGTAAAACTCTGCAGACAGGTGCAGGAAAGGTGATGAATCAGAGATTACAAGCACTTAGAATGGAAGAATTGGCATCTTCATTCGAAGATGAACTTTGCACGAATAGTACTCACATGCCCCACCACTCGATGATGTCACCGCTGACCCACTTGCCTGGCTGCAGGAAATCTGCCTCGCGAGGGGAGATCGTCAAATAGCTGCCTCCTAAGGGATATGGCATTACATACTGCTCAAATGGTTTAGCGACCTTCTTGTTACGCTTCCTAGCCATCGGGTAAATCAATGGAGGCTTTCTGGGGAGGTACTGGTTCGGTGGCCGGGTAAGTGACGGCGTAACCCTAAGTCTATGCTAAGTCATTTTGTTTATCGGATGCCGAGCAGCGAAACCCTTGGGATGTGTAGCGGCGGGAGACAGGTTAGGGACAGTTTGGGGACATGGACTGAATGTTGTCTCTCGATTACGTTGGGTTACCGTATTTTGGAATGTGCAATTGCTCAATGGTCCCACGGTGTAGGAAACGGTTTGCTATGCTCCAGAGGGTCAGTGAGCTGGATGTTAGCGGTTGGTGTGGGTAACATAAGCACCAGAGGCCTGCTGTGGATGTGGTTCGGGGCTATCGAGAAACGACAGGCTGTCAAAGGGACATACAGAAAATTACACTGGTGGTGTCGGTTTGCTCGAAGCAGTGACGAGGAACACTCGGTAGATCCACGTGGCACAGTTCTGCTGGTGAGATGATCGACTTGCACGAGGTGATGTGGCGAAACCACGGCGCATTTTGCACCTGTAATTTGGGTGAAGGACGAGACTGCATGGAGCGCCCATGAAACTGCCCTGTGTGAAAATCCACGGCTGAGAGTGGCCCCCGGGGAGTGACATCAACGAGGAATAAGCTCCTACGGGGTCGATCCGTGAGCTCCTCTTCTATTTGACAATTACAAGCACCGTCACGTTTTCTTATCCCTCATGGGAATGCTACGCTCACACCAGGGCGAACCTTACTAACTTAGCGTGGCATAGGCGCTATATTTTGTTAGGTAAGAGTGAAACAGCCGCTCACCATGTGTGCCGCTGTCGCTCGTCCGGTGCGTGTTAGACGTCCTCCCCAGAGGCTTGATGATTTCGAAGGCATAAAAAGTGGAGGTAAGTCTAAGCCGTCGACTGCACAATGGGCGGCGGATGTGGAGGCGACTAGGACGTTCTTGAGACAACACCGAGTGTCCAACCCTACGCCCAAGGGTTATTTGGTAGCGGAGCAAGCCCCGGACATCACGAACGCAGAATACACTGGCTTCCGTTTCTCCACAAACGCAGCTAACCCTTCCAGTCTGTCTCGTGATCTCAAAACCCCTTGGTAGCATCGCCTCTCTACCAGAAGTCCACGTTCTATATCCACATCTCGGCCCTTGTTGATAGCCTCTTTAGCGAGTCGGACGGCAAGAGGTCCCTACAGTGGCAAGCGCATGAGCAGATGAATTGGGCCGAAGAGATGTGCAGGGAGATTGGTGTACATACACTGAGGGTTGCCCTTGATTGAATTCATGTGCATTTGAATTTTTGAAACAACTGCACTAGTTGCATATTTATACCGAGATGGATGCGGTCAGGCAGGAGCAAGAGAAGTCATAACTCCTTTTTGGTTGCAGACTTTTGAGTAAGACTCACATTGCGTTGGATGGTTCTTGCGATTTGAAGGGCGGTCTCGTATGCAGTTCCTGCTGGCACACAGTGGCTCACAATGCCTGTATGCATACATACAGGTGCACGTTCATACATACACACATGCATGCATACAGGCGCACGTTCATACATACACACATGCATGCATACATACACACATGCATACATACAGGCGCACATGCATACATACACACATGCATGCATACAGGAGCACATGCATACATACGCACATGCAATGCACGCATGCTTACAGGTGCACACACACACACACACACACACACACACAGAAACACACACATACGCACATGCAAATATAACCACGTGCATACACACACTCACAAAAACATGAGCAATACAAACAGTCTGCAAACCTTCCTCCTGAGACACCATCAAAACAACACTTTGATTAGGGCCCAATTGTTTTAGGTGCAGCTCAGAAAACGTGGCGATCCTTGGGGCAAAAAAAAAAAAAAAAAAAAAAAACATGAGCATTACATATGGTCTGTGAACTGATTGTTCTTTGGCCCCTCACAACGATGCGTTGATTGGTAATTGGCCGCTCACACCTTCTCACTTGTGCTACTCACTCCCCCTCCCCACTAACCCTCCCCACTCACCCTTCCCACTCACCCTCCTCGCTCACTCTTCCCACGCTCCCTTCTCTCTCACCCTCACCACTCATTCTCCCAATCAGCCCTTCTCTCTCAGCCTCCTTACTCACCTTCCCCATCCGCCCTTTTCTCTCACCCTCCCCACTCGCCCTTCTCCCTCGCCCTCCCCACTCACCCTCCCCACTCACCCTCCCCACTCGCCCACCCCACTTGCCCTCCCCACTCGCCCACCCCACTTGCCCTCCCCACTCGCCCACCCCACTCGCCCTTATCCCTCACCAAGAGAGAGTGCCTCGTCAGCACGCACAACCCGAGCCGTGAAAATGAGCTCCTTGCCTCGAGATGCTCTCAACACCCCTTGCTCTCACGGCACCTCAAGACGTCACATTCGTCCCCTTGCCCTTTTCTCACCCAGTGAGAGTGCCTCATCTGCACGCACAACCCGAGCCGTGAATATGAGCTCCTTGGCCCGAGATGCACCGATGAGGCGTGGTAGCCGCTGCGTGCCACCCGCCCTGTTGAAGTGTTTGTTGGGAGGTATGGATGAGAGGAGATGGGATGGGAGGAAGGGGTGGGAGAGGATGGGCCACTTGGCTCGAGATGCACCGATGAGGCGGGGTAACCGTTGCGTGCCTCCCGCCCTGTAGTGATTGTTGGAAGGTAAGGGATGAGGCGGAATGGGACGGGAGGAGATGTGATGAGTTGAGATGAATATGAGCTCCTTGGCCCGAGATGCACCGATTAGGCGCGGTAACCGCTGCGTGCCACCCGCCCTGCAGTGAGCGTTGGGAGGGGTGGGAGGAGAGGGAATGAGATGGGAGAAAGTGCAGGAGAAGATGAGATGAAATGAGACGAGGATATATGAGATGAAATCAGGCGCGGTAACCGCTGCGTGCCACCCATCCTGCAGTGAGTGTTGGGCAGGATGGGATGGGAGGAAAGATTGGGAGTACTTTTGAGACGTCTGAAGTGGTAACTGACGGGGGGATGACTTTAGAGTCGACTCAAAACGAGGTGACTTTTGAGTCCACTCAAAAGGGATGGGATGGGAGGAATGATCGGAAGATACACGACTTTTGAGACGTCTGAAAATACCTTCTAAGGCGCCTGAAAAGTTGACTCATGAGTCGGCTGAAAAGATTTTGACGGCGGAAAATGTGCAAGTCAAACTGGGCATCATAGAAGCCTTTTAAGGAGCCTCAGAAATTGTTTGCTAAGAGGCGGCTTTTGAGGCACCTAATTTTTCTGGAGGGATAAGAGACGGCGGGGCTAGAAACTTGCGGGTTAGAGGACCGACTTTAACGCGCCTGAAAAATTGCGGGTTAAGAGACTGATTTTAAACGTGCCTGAAAAAATGCGGGTTAAGAGACTGCTTTCGATGCGCCTACACTTGTGGGTTAAGAGACATCTTTTGACGCACCACAAAGAGGAGAGTAACGCCTTGTTCTCACCCGGGAATGATTGCAAGCGATGTTTCTGGCAGGCCAAACCGTGCATTGAAACCTGCAAGAGGAGAGGGGGAGAATGGGAGAGGAGAGGCAGAGTCGAGAGGAGGAAACAGACAAAGACAAACATTCCCTTGGGAAGTATGGGCAGTGGTAGACTCTTGCAAACAGGCAGGATGCAAACTGGCAGGCCGAAACGGGCATTGAAGTCAGCAAGAGGAGAAGGGGGGATGGGGGAAAAGAGGGTAAAATGAGAGAAAGGATAGGAAAAGACAACCATTCAAGAGCAAACTAAGGCCACTGATATAATTGGCAGGCCGGATCGAAGCACACGATGCTACATCACTTCAATATCACGAGTGGCAATTGCCTCTGCCGTAACTCTGATGTATCATGTACCTGCCTCTACAGCACGTGCCTTTGCCGTACCTGCCTCTGCCGGTCCTGTCCTGCCTCTGCCATACCTGCCTCTGCCGGTCCTGTCCTGCCTCTGCCGGTCCTGTCTCTGCCGGTCCTGTCCTGCCTCTGCCGTACCTGCCTCTGCCGTACCTACCTGCCACTCTAATGTCACAAGCTAAAAGCATTTCGAGCCCCCCTCCCAGCGCTGCTCCCTCAACTGCGGCCACTGTTGGCACGGGTAAGTTCTGAGGCGAAAACAAGGCGGAAAATTTTGGAATGAGAATAGTCAAAAGAGTGGGATGGGTGAAAAGAATGAGAGCTCAAATCATAGGAGATCTGGGCTTCTGTGAAAGGGGGCAATTCAAGCCTCACACGTTGTGACTGCTTGCAGCATGGACAACCCTCGCAAGGTCAGCCACTGAGAACCGCTGAGATCTGCTTCTGCTTCTTCCAGAGTCATTCCGCCCCAGGGTTGACAGCTGGCGCTATATTAAATCAAATATTGTACTATTACAGCCAGATTCCGTGGGTGTTTGGTCTAGTGGCATGATTCTCGCTTAGGGTGCGAGAGGTCCCGAGTTCAAGACCGGACCGACTTCCCATGTACAAGCATGCAACATGCTTGCGGCCGCTCACCACCACATGCACAGCTTTGAGGTCTGCTCTGCTGCTGCACGATATTCCATGCCCACATTTTCCATCCTCATAATGTATTGGATAGCTCACCGCATGCAGCATAAACACTCACCGCACTTAGCACAAACACCCACCCCACTTAGCACGGTCATTCACCACATGCAGCACAGACATTCACCACATGCAGCATCAACACTCATTGCACTCAGCACAAACACCCACACCACTTAGCACGAACATTCACCACATGCAGCACAATCATTTGCCGCATGCAGCACGAGCACTCACCGCTTGCAGAATGAAAATTCACCTCGATCTCAGTGAACGCTCCCCTGAGACTGCTGAAAAACGAGCGTAAGGCCCCAGGGGTCCTCAGTCATGGACACAAGCAAGTTTTGAGTCGCCTCAAAACTAGACTCCTCTGAGATTGCTGACGAACGAGCGTGAGATGAGGTCCCAGGGGTCCTCACTCATGGGGCAGGGAAGATTTTACTTCAACAATAGAATCCGCGCTTTGTAAAAGGATTCACTATATGCAGCATAGACACTCACCGCTTGCAGCATGAACACTCACCTCGAGGTCGGTGAACGCTCCCCTGAGACTGCTGACAAATGCTTCCGCCTCTTCCTGCGTCATGCCCTTGCGCTCCTGGTGGTGGGTTCAGGGTGAAAAGTAATTAATAGTAGTTTAAATCATTGTCCAAATTTATGCGTGGGTGTTTGGTCTAGTGGCATGATTCTCGCTTAGGGTGCGAGAGGTCCCGAGTTCAATTCTCGGAACACCCCAGTCGTTTTGATGTTGTCAGCCATCCTTGTGGCCTGGTCCACTGGGATTCACTGTAAAAAACTCACACGACCTAACACTCTTTTGCAGCATCACGCCTGTCTAATATATTGGACAACTCTCAGTCACCCTGTGTATACAAGATTACCGGTACCACCGTGTTACAAATACCCACAGCTTACCTTCCGTTTTAGTCACCCTTCATTCAGTCACGCACAAAACATACCTTGAGGTCTGCCCCTGCGCAAAACACTCCATCCAGTGCGCTCCTTATAATCACAGCTCGCACCGCTGCATTCCCCGTCTGCTCCTGCACCCCTTCCGCTCCCCCTGATCCCTCCGCCATCCCTCCTCCAGCCGCCCGCCCTGCTCCCCCTGCTGTCCCTACTACATCCACTTTCTTGGCTCCCCCGGCTCCCTTCACTTCCGCCATGGCATGCACCATATCTGCCAGCAGCTGCTTGCTGATGGCGTTGCGGGCCGCGGGACGGTTGAGAGTCACCACAGCGATGCCTGGCAAGAGGGGAGTATGGCGGGAGGCAGGGAGGGAGAACAGGGAGGAGGGGGTGAGAGAGTCAGAAAAAAACATCTAACACGCCAGCCGCAGCAGCGGCTTGCTGATGGCGTTGCGGGCCGCAGGGCGGTTGAGAGTCAAGACAGCAATGCCTGGCGGGAGGGAAGAGCGGGGGAGAGGGGAAGGTGGGGTGGCAGGGGGTTGGGTGGGAGGGTGGGAGGCGAGCAGGGAGGATAACAGGAAGGAAGCAGGAACGAGGGGGTGAGCTTCAGATATGTCATCAGCTGCTTGCTGATGGCGTTGCAGGCTGTGGGGCGGTCTAGATGTTTTTACAACTACCCGTAAAAAAACAAACAAACAAACAAACATATAGATTTTGAAAGGCAGCACTCACCCTCGTCGTCCCCTGTGAGGTGATCCAACCGCACTAATTGGTCACCGCCACGTGGAACCACCACCGAAGATGCCTTCACGGAGTAGCCCCTCCTCGGCTGCCACGTGGCAGGAAAATCATCCGCGAAAAAAGATGCGGCGAAAGAGCTGGATGACGTGGCAACCCACGGTGCCGGACACGTGGCACTGGTTATAAAAACCAGGGAGGCACGGGACGTGCCGGCGGCTGCGCGAGCTGACGTGGGAACGTGAAGTAGCGAACTTTGCAGTGCCGAGAGATCGTCTCGATAATCACTGCGCCGCTGCGCACCAGGAAATAATATCGAGGGTGGCGAAAGAGCGACAGGGGAAACTGACGCTACTAGCGGTGCCACGAGCGCGGCGGGTGATAGTAGAGGCGTTGACAACGCGGCAGGGGATGAAATTAGCCGCTGCGCCGCGCGAACGGCGGCGGCGGAAGAGCGGGCCATGCGGAGAAAGGAGGAATTTCTGGAACTGTGGCAGTGGAGTAAGATTACTTCCCAAGGATTTGAGTAAGCAAGGTACAGCGGAAGGGCTGTACGCCGGGAATTATGCGAAGAAAAGGAAAGCGGAAAACTAGCCGCGTTACTCGAGTGAGTACAACGATAACATTCTCAAACGAGTATGTGAGGAGAAAGCACGCGCTACGGCGGGCTTTCAAATTGACTCTCACTGGTTTTTGTTTTCAAAATTCTAAGAAACCCAAAATTCGCTGCGAATAGAGACTATTATTCTAGTCCCAGCGAGCAGGTACTACGTCCGTGACGGACGGCGCACGGAATAAACGCGGCAGGTCGAGTTTATGGTAGACGTCTCAAAACAGGGGAGGAAAGCGTGTGCTAAGATCGACTTCGATGAGCAGAAAGCGCTACGGCAGGACAGGCTGCGCTGGATGGTTCCGGGCGGAAAGGCTATGGGTGCGAGTGGCCATAAATGTATTCTGCGTGCGCAAAAAGGAAAAGCTGCTCAGAAGATGTTACTTGGCAGGATTGAACAATCGACGAGTTTATGACCTCCCTGCAAATGACAAGGGTTGACTTCATTGCGGTCCAGAAAGGCGAGTTGCGTTTACATACGTTTAGATGTTTATATACAATGGTTGAATAGGGTCTTGAGGTGTTACGAAATCCACATGCATTGACCCTCGATTCAGTCTGTGATAGTGACGGTGGCCTGTGACTGAATGGAAGTCTATGGCCGTCATTCTTCCGTGCGGCTGAGGCAGCATGACGTGTGCGGAGATGGCAACACCGTGGAATGATGCCAGGCGACACCAATTGTAGCCAAACGATCTTTCAGACCAACTATCGCCAATTTTTCGTCATGAGGCATGGTTACTCTCGCAAATCAGGGACTCTCGAAATTTTGGCCCAATACACTCAGACAGTAACAACTAATTTAGGCTCTGTTACCGTAACCTGTATCTCGCGAATTCAACGGCAAGTAGTTTTCGCACAAACGGTGCCCCATAATTCTGTCCGATTGTGCCGCGCTGTGCTGATCTTTTGACGAGCAGCAACGTCCGATCTTTTGACGAGCAGTGAGCCTAGTTTCCAGGCAAGGCGGTTATCGAAAATAGAGGATTTTCGTCGTTAGGGTTTCGCGTTCGAGGCTCAGGGGGGAAGATGGCGAATAAGGGAGCGAAGAAGCGGAAGGAGGAGAACGAGAAGCACATGAACCGGCTGCAGAAGCTCATCGTGACCGTTAATGTACGTTCAACCGAGCAATCGTGTGCGTCCGCCGGGCCACCTGTCGGGTGACCATTGGCGCCCTTTAGCTTCTGTATTTCGATTTTTCTCTTCCCTGCAGGCTGATTCAGTCTTTGTTTCGCGAGTCGCGATTATTTCTGAATCTCATCCGTTGAAACCAGCTTGAGCCATTTCCCACGTTCTTGCACCTTTCCTCTTCCAATCGTTCATAAAAGAATCACCATTGCACATCCCTTTCGTCGCGTCCTCTTTCACATGGAGATCGCATTCCGCGTTCCCCGCTCCCGACTGTTTTTCTCTTTTTAGCTTAATTCCTTTTCGTTCCGTCCAGGCGATTTACTTCCTCGTGCGTCTCTCGCTCTCCGTCTCCTCCTTCGTCTTTGCCTTTTCTTTAACGTCTTCTCTTTCGCCACTTTCGCCATGGTTATCCCATGCATTTCGCTCAGGCGATTTACATCCTCGTGCGACTCTCGCTCTTCTTCGCCTCCTTCACGTGGCGCCACTGGATCGGTCTCGTTATAACCACATTCGCGTACAAGACGTGCTTCGACCAGATCGCGTCGCTGGCGGAGGCCACGTACGACGAGACGGGGCAGCTGATCGACGGCGGGAGCGACCTCAACATGGGCGGGCTGTGCGGGTGGGTGGGTGAGAAGGCCTGTCTGGTGCGGGTGGGACTGGTGCGGGCGGGTGGGACTGGTGCGGGTGGGTGGGACTGTTGAGATTACCTGTATGTAAACACCATCCCTCCCTGCTGGTGGCTTCCCACCGCCTGTGCTTCCTCAATGCGCCAAACCAATACACTATCCATCCCTATCCATCCGTCTATCCATCTATCCATCCATCCATCCATCCATCCATCTATCCATCCATCCATCCATCCATCCATCCATCCATCCATCCATCCATCCATCCATCCATCCATCCATCCATCCATCCATCCATCCATCCATCCATCCATCCATCCATCCATCCATCCATCCATCCATCCATCCATCCATCCATCCATCCATCCATCCATCCATCCATCCATCCATCCCATTCCACCCCACCCCATCCCATCCGTTCCATCCCATCCCCCCAATCCTCCCATTTCTATTCAGAATCTCATGTGTCTATCTATTTCGCATAAAATTCCCTCCCCTCCCTTCTCCCCCCCCGTCTCTTCCCTTCACCCTAAACTCCATTTGCAGTTATCTGCATGACATCATATACGTCACTTCCTTCGTCCAGATTGCCTCCATTCTCTCCGACTGGTTCTGGCTCATCTACCTCATCGTACGCTTGCCACACCTTACCTTACCTTGCCATCCCTTGTCGTGCCATCCCTTGTCGTGCCATCCCTTGTCGTGCCATCCCTTGTCGTGCCATCCCTTGTCGTGCCATCCCTTGTCGTGCCATCCCTTGTCGTGCCCATTGCCTGGCCTTGGAGCGTTGTTGCTTCATTCCAGTACAAAGTTATTCGAGTCCACCTTTGTTTCTTCTCTCCCATCGTTCCTTCTGAATCATAGCGCCCTTGCTCTGAGGAAATCGTGCTGCTTTCCCACGCTTGAAAATCAAATCATGAGACCCTTTTGTATCAAATCTCAAAGCTTGCACCGTTAGTCGTCTGTGGCCGATATGGGAGCCCGTGCTCTACCCTTACGCTTTCCCAAACCCTCACTGCTTTGCTCCCTCCTTCTCTTGGTTCCCCCCTCTCCGCCCTCTCTTCCCCCTCAGATCCCGGCCTTTGCCTTGTGGAAGCTATGGGAGCTTGTGCTCTACCCCTACATTTTTCCAAACCACCCCAAACGTATTCACTCCCACCTTCTGTTCGTTCTCACCCCCACCCTCCCCCTCTCCCCTTCCCCCCCTCCAGCTTCCGTCTCAGATTGCGGCCTTTGTGGAAGCTATGGAAGATTTTTGAGGCGCCTAAAAAAACGAGTCTGGCCTTTTGTAAAAACTATGGACGCTCGTCCGGATCCTCATCGTTGTACTCTCCCTCCCTCTGTTCGTTACCCCTGCCCCCCCTCCTCCTCCTTTTCAGATCCCGGCCTTTGCGTTGTGGAAGCTATGGGAGCTCGTGCTCTACCCCTACTTCTTCCAAAAGGTTGAACCTGTGAGTAATCTCCTACCTGCTCTCTCTGACCAAACTCTGCGAGACTTGGTTGGAACCCGTGATTTACCTTTTCCCTTGCTTTGAGATGTAGAAGAGATTGTGATTCCAAGAAGGACCTTTTTGTTGTTGTTTTTTCCGCTTTCTTTTGAGGCGCCTCAAAAGTCGTCTCCTGTTTTGAGGCGCCTCAGAAGAGATTGTGATTCCAAGGAGGACCTTTTTGTTTATTTTTGTTTTCCGTTTTCTTTCGGTAACCTCTTTTATCCAGGGAGAGGAAGACCCGAGAGATAAAAAGAAGAGGGAGAAAATGGAGCGTAAAGCAGACAGGGCTGCACGGTTATCCAAGGGACGATGACATTTTTTTCACACGGTCAATAGCGGTAATTGCAAGGATGTAGAAACTATCTATCGGCTCATATCATAGCAATCATTTACCCAGCCGTCACTTCCTAATGGAACAAATCTGTCCACATTCCTTGCTTGACATGGCACATGGTAGTCCACCCATGCTGCCGATGAGGTCAGGGTAAACAAGATAATACCATGAACGAAACGTACTACTGGTACGTCCATGGTGACGGGAGCATGAAGACACTAGGCGGTTGAAGCAACAAAATCAGGATGGTGAACTCAAGGTCTCCTGGTAAAAACCTGCTGCTGCAATTTTGCAGCTGACTCTACGAAGGCGGGTTACTACATCTTATCAGAGCGAGGTTTCGATCCTCGGACCTGTGGGTTATGGGCCCACCACGCTTCCGCTGCGCCACTCTGATATGAGTTTTCGAATTTGCAAATGCTATTTGTATATCTTGTTTTACCCATGTGTGGAACCAGTTACTTTACTCACAGAAGAGTCTGCTGCTATCCTCCCTCTCCTCCATCCAGCTGATAAGCAACAAGCTTAGGGTGGAACAAATCAATAAAGTATGTCCTTACAGACCACGCCATTAGAAAGATGCCACGTTTCCAGAGGTCAAATGAATTATTTTCTCCCGGAACAGAAAAGGGTCGACGATGCAAGCACTCCGCTTGGGCCCTCCTACCTCACGGCCCAACAAGATTAGACGAATATGTTATAAATATGGTAGCATTTTTTTCGAAGCAAAGCAAGCCAAGCCAACTGAAAGGTGCTTCATTCCCAGAGGCCCAGGGGTCAAACGTCCATGCGTAAAAAAAACAAGAAAAAGCCCAAATCACCTTATCAAACGTCCACCCTCTCATCTTCCCTCGGAACAGAGTAGGGGCGGCCGTGCAAGCAATCCCCTTGAGCCTTCCTCCCACTCCCACCCACACCTCCACCCCCCGATTCTTCCCCTTCACCATCCGACACCCCACTACTCCCCAAATCCCCCATTTCAATCCCTATTTCAGAACCCCTCCCTCTCCCACTCTCCCCCCTCTCCCTCTCCTCATCCTCCTCTTCCTCGTCGCTGCTTCCGATGAATGCAGTGGCTTCTGCAAGCTGTTGTTTCTCCAAGGTGCTGAGCGGTTGGGTGGGATTCTTGTGGTGGAAGGGCCAGATGCAGCGCTCTATGCAGCAGGAGAGGAGGGCAGCGATGCAGCTGATGGCTGCCGCCGCTGCGAGGAAGATGAGGAACGGGAGCAGGGGATACCAGGAGTCGCCTTGTAAGAGAGCTGGGGGGAG